GGGTAATCTGCTTTTTTGTTTTGTTTTGGGAGTTGTTGTTGGAACATATAGTTTGATGACTCTTTTGACTTCAAGTAAAAATATGTTGTAATGGTCTTCAACGGTATTGCATCCAGTGAATAGAGATTGCCAATCAAGGGATGAGAGATCGTTGTCTATAAGATCATAGTTGCCTTTTTTGAAGTTACAATAGGGGATTACATCATTGTGGTGATTTTTGTGTGGATGTATGTTGAGACAAAAGTCAATCATATTGTGGTCACTACTGGAAAAGGGTTCTTTAGTTTGTATTCCGTAAATTAGGTTCAAACTGTTGCAGAAGATGAGATCGAGGCAGTTGTTAAGTCTAGTGTTGTTGATTACTAGTTGTTCCAGTCCCAGATTTGTAATAGCATTGTAGAAGGTTGTGTGTATGATTTCAGTTGTACAATCATTTAGGGTCCAGTCAATATGAGGTAGATTGAAATCACCAAGAAGGATAAAAGGGTATGGGCAGGATGCATCCCATGTTAGTAATGTATTTAGTTTGTTTACATGTTCGATGTCATAATCAGGTGCTCTGTAACATAGTAAGAATCGAATTGTGATATTTGAGGATAGTTCACAGATGATGGTTTCAGGAAGGGCAAGCTCCTGGGTAACTTGGATATTTTTTAGATGTAAGGATTTTTTATAGAATATAGCAACACCACCTCCTCGACGATTTTCACGATCTGATCTGTAAACATGATAGTCTCTTACTGTGGTAATGGAGTCGGGGAGAGATGCATTGAGCCATGTTTCACAGACAAATATAATGTCGAAGTTAGCCATATTTAGGAGGAAGAGAAATTCAGGTATTTTGTTCACGAGGCTTTTTGCATTGAGTAGTTTGCATTTAAGGCCGGCAGTAGTTGGAATTGAGGTAGTTGGGGGCGTGCGTGCCTAGTCTTGGGTGATGGTGTATGGGTTGAGGTAGGGTTGTGGTTGAGGGTAAAAGCTGAGTATTGGGTTGCGTGGCTTACTTTTGATACAGTCAGCATGGTAGTCAATGTACAGGTCCTTCTCTCCATTGTCTAGACGGTTTTTGAGTTCGATGCGGAGTACACGGGAGCGGGCACGTTGCTGTATGGTTAGGTCAGGGCGGCAACGGAGGTTCTTATAGTTGGTGTTGGTTTTGGCGAGTGAGTTTATAGTATAAATGAATTTACGTTTGCTTGATTCATTTTTGCAAATGACCCTGCACAAGCGTGGGGCCACAGAGCCGTCTCTATTTTTGAGCTCTCGGTCGATGCGGGAAATGTCAAGTATTTCATCAGCGGAGATGGTTGATGCTTGATAATTTCTGATGATGTTTCGGACAGTTGTGATGTCATCATTGACATTGATGTCTTCTAGACCAAATAAGATGGCGTTTGGACGTTTCCGTTCACGCTCAACGGCTTCTCTGATGAGGATTGGGATATCAATATTTGTCTGGGTTGTGTTTATTTGTGGATTGGGTTTTGGATTGGATTGTGGTTGTTTGGTAGAGATGTGGTTTGTAGCTATTGGATGTTCAGGTTTTTGCGTTGTGTCTTTTTTTTCAAGGTTGGATATTCTTTCTTTTACGGCGTCCAGGGATGCTACTATGATGTTGAGGGATGTTTTAATGGTTTCGATGGTAGGGGATGTTTCAATGGTTTCGATGGTATCAACTCTTTCAGACAGATCCAGTTTGGGTCTGCATGATTTGCAGAAATATGGAAACTCATTGGATGATTTTAGGTATTGAATCATCTGCTCAGGTAGTCCCAAGCAGTCATGATGAGTGTATTTTTTACACAGAGAACATTTGATGGAGTTTTCATTATCCTTTAGATTTTTGTAGCATTTAAGGCATGTGCAGGAGTCTTGTGGTTCATTGGTGGGGATCATCTTCTCTTTAGGTTGTGGTTTGACGTAGGATTTTCTTTTTGGCATGGTAGGATTGTTAAAATAGTACGTTGATTGAATTAATTAAAGGAACAATTTTGGGTAATCTATATAGCCAATATTACATCAAACAATCAATTGCAGTAATCTCTCAAGTCAGATAATATTCCTGAGCAACAATCAGCCTGATCAATTAATTACTCTAATCACTAATCAATTAATTACACTAATCATTAATCACACTGTTCATTTAAATTCACTAGATCAATGATTTTGCTATTCAATTAAATTACATGAATTTTGATCTTTTAAACTAGTCAGTAATCACACTATTTGCACCAAACACTCTAATCACACTAATCAATTAAAAACAATAAATCAGTTAAACCATTAATAAAATATTTTATAGAAATTGATTATCTAATCGTTGATATAGGTGATGAGGTAGAAAAGTTGTAAGATTTGAGGTAATGAGGTAGTATTAAGAGTCTGCAAGGAACGGGTTAATTGTTTAACTGGCAGCTGAATGGGAGGAATTTATCGCTGTTTGAATAGCAGATCGCTATTACTCTGTAAACAGGAAGTTGTAACACAATGATCCAAGGATTTTTATCTGAGTGAAGGAAAGATTGAACAGCTCACAGGAAATTATTTGTTTTTGTTTTCCCTTGATAAATGAGATTTCTGGGCCCCTCCTAGTTAACTGAATACTCTTTCAAAGTTTGTTGCTTTTAAGAGAGAGAGGCACGTGTTGCACTGGTAAATTCAAACAGTTTATATTTTTACTGTGTAGACTCAGATTTGTATTGAGCATTCACTCCTGGCTTTAATATACCTCTGCTTCTATCACTCTTGGAGTCCGGATTAGCAATTTGGCGAGGAGAAAAGAGGGAAGAGGGAAATGGGGGCGGCAGGGTAGCAGCGGCAGCGGCAGCAGTGTCACCTCCGACTTTTTCCCTCCCTCGCTGCTCATCCAGCATAGTGCCCCAAACACCACATCACAATCATACTACAGAGTATTTAAAAATTAAAATAATTAAAATGATAATAATAATAATTAAAAGCCTTGTCTAAAACCTATCTAAAACATATAGTAAGTTAGATAGTTTAAAAACCAGAGAGTGAAAAACCACAGCAACTGAGTGCACTGCCATTTTTAATGGAATTTGACAAAAAGCAGAGCTGAAGATCTAAAGGTTAGCTAGAAAGCAAGAAATCCAACCATTTCCTGCTTCCTAGCTAATCTAAATCTCCAGGCACAGCAGAACAGCTGATGGTCAGGGAAAAAAAAAGGAAAAATAGCAATTTAGCAGGCAAGTTTGACGGGTAAGGAGTGAGTGGGCAGGGAGGGTTCCCACGGGCCATGGTGTGGGGGGGGGCAGACTTTTGTTCCTGCGCAGCCTGGATCAATTGCTTTGGGGGTTGCTCTGGGGAGGAAATTTCTCTGCGGCCCACCAAAATTTTCTCATGGCCACGGCCCAGTGGGCCACGGCCCATCGGTTGGCAACCGCTGGACTAGATGACCTACAAAGGTCCCTTCCAACTCTGTTTATCTGTTATCTGATTCCACATACTTGAAAGGAAGTGACAGGTCATCTCCTTCTTATTAGTCTTCAGAGGATCCAATGACACTAGTCAATTTTGGTCTATTTTGCAAAGCTGTTTTATTAGGGAAGGTTATTGAGAAGACTTGCAGCTTTGAAGAATCCAGTTATCTTGATCCTTTCCAATTGTGTTTCAAGTTAGGATGTAGCACTGATATGGTGTTGATTCCAGAGCATCCCCGAAGATTACATTACATTTGGGCTTCTCCTGAGCAATGGCAAATCCTTTCAACCCAAAAGCACTCTTCAGTCAGATTTGACTTATCTGACATGGATAAAGAATCTGTTGATTGCATTTATAGATAACCTCTGAAGGATCAGGATCTGGATAGTATATCCTTCCTGGGGGAATTGGGAGAGAGAGCAATAACATGGTTAGCTACATTTGATAATTTTCTTTGTTTGGGCCATTCAAGCCTGGCTCTCAAAGAAAAAGGGGAAAGAGAAAAATAAGTATGTAAACACATAGGAAATATGAGATAAGAAATCTAATATAAGTAGTAAATAGACATAACTGTAAAAGATATACAGCCATGTATTTATCTATTTTAAAGCTCATGTTTTGTAATATACCCATTTTTATAATGTATATTTCACTAATTCCAATCCGTCTTCATTTGCAGATGTTGATGCTCATCAATTCCCAGATTCCTCAGGTAAGACCAGAATCATTCAAAGGATCAGTGCATTATATTTAAAGCTAATTCTACATGGTCAGGTCTTCTCTTTCTTTCCCAATATGCAAGTGTTTTTATGTGTTACTCACCCTCAAAGTCTTGATGGGGGAAAGGCCCAGATTTTGCAGTGGTGACAGTGAAAGGAGAGAGGGAGAGGGAGGAAGGATCACAAGAAAGGGTGCATCTAACTTTCACACATTCAAATAATTTTGCAATCTCATGGTGAATTTGAGAGAGAAATCATCCCTAAATTTAGTTTTGTAAATTATTTCATTACAGTTGCAAATTAGATTCTAAACCTGGGGGGAAAGAACCTTAGATTATCATAATCTGTACCAAGAGAATACATACAAAAAGAGAAGTCAATAATGAACAAAATAAATTAATCTATAGTCATCTGTTAGTTTTACAGAAAAGCTTAAACAACAGCCATAATAATTATAATTGTCCACTCATGGTTTCTATTTGTAGACACATCATTCAGGATTTGCAAGTAATGTAAAACTGGGATCCCCAACCTGGGGGCCATGGCAGGAAAGCATGTACATGCTCCATTTAAGTGAGCTGGTGTCAGTACATGCCGCTTGTACAAATGGAGCTGCCCCAGCTGCTTGTGTGGAACCATCCCCCCTGTCAGCTCACAAAGCTCTTTTGTTTTATTAGATCTCCACATCTTCATTCAATTCAGTTTTTTAAAGTATATGTCAAACTGATTTATTAGAAATTAATATTTATCAAGACTAACTGGGATTTTAATTTTCATAAGATTAATGACTGTTTCTAACCATCCATGTGTCTCTGAATCTGAAATGCTGTAGGTCCAGCTGGATCTCAGTAGATGTTGCAGATGCAAATATTGCCAGTGGAGTGCTAAAATAAAAAGATAGGTATCCTTTAACAAAGGAAATAATAAACACCCATCATTATCATTCCGTAATTGATTTTAAAAAGTATCAAAAAGATGTTGTAGTCCTTGCTAACCAACTAGTTCTTCAGCAACTGTTTTAAGTTACAATGGCACTGAAAATAGAGGCTTATGATCAGTTCTCAAAGTTGCAGCTGTCCCCAAAATCACTGGACTGAGTTTTGGGTGCTTATTAATTGGTGGGCACTTATGATTAGTGACAGTGTCCTGTGATCACATGATTGCCATTTGTGATGTTCACAGCTGGATTCAATAAGGAAAGACAATGAGGAAACTGGCAGGAGATTTGATGGCCAAATTTGTCCTAGATTCCGATTTGGCACACTCACTTCAATTAGTCACCAAGTTGGAATATCATTTAAACAAATTGTTGAAGCTCTTCAGCAAAGAGGTTGTTCTTTTCAAAGAGGGAACCAAGAATAAGAATAAGTTTCCTTTTAAACTTAATTCAGTAAACAAAGAACAAAAGAACAGTTGATCAGGTACCAAAAAAAATTATCCTGCCAAGTTACATCAGAGATTTGCCCACTGAGTTAAACAGACTACATGTTAATATCCCATAATATTAACTATGACCATTTAAATGAGAATTCTAAAAGAAGTAGGAGGGAAAAACCTCTTTAATACATTCTTCATTTCAGTCTTTGTCAACAGCAACGGTTGCTGTCCCCCATTTCCAAGATGCACCACAACAATTTGTAATGACTTACTACATATTGACTTTGCAGCAGTTAATGTTGAAACATTACGAAACCCAAGGCCATCCCTATCTATTGGCCCTGATGGATTATGTGCCTAGTTTTTGAAAAAGTTTGCCACTGCCCTAGCTGCACCTCTAAGCATAATCTATGAGGTATTCTTCAAAACCAGCTCCCTGCCTGACTTATGGTCATTAGCCACGGTCGTATCTATTTTTTAAAAAGGAGACCCTAGTCTAGTAGAAAATTACAGACCAATCTCACTGTGTTACGTCACCTGTAAAGTCATGGAATCAATTATAAACCAATCCATCACAACGCACTTAGAAACAAACAACCTGCTTTCTAACAAGCAGTTTGGTTTCAGAAAAAATCTATCCTGTAATCTGCAACTCCTACACTGCAGGGTAAAGCAATAGATGCAATTTACATAGACTTCTGCAAAACCTTTGATTCAGTGGTGCACGACAAATTACTTAGTTCTTAGTTCTTATGGCATCTCTGGACCACTGCACAAGTGGATAGCCATGTTCCTGTCAAACAGTCAACAAATGGTCAAAATAAGGAAGGCCTATCAAATCCAGCCATAGTTGATAGCAGTGTCTCCCAAGGCAATGTCTTAGGACTACACTCTTTCTGCTTTACATCAATGACCTATGTGATAACATTAAAAGCAACTGCGTCCTCTTCGCTGATGATGCAAAATTATTTTACACCACTGACAATGCCGCTGCCCTACAAAGCGACTTTGACTATGTGTTAGAATGATCGCACAATTGGCAAGTCCAAATTTCAACTAACAAATGCTTTGTCCTACACATTGGCAAAAAAAAAAAATCAGAACACCAAATACAAGTTAGGAGGAAATGATCTCGTAGATGACCTTCACTCTGTCAAGGATGTAGGAGTACTTACCTCAAATCATCTAAGCCCCAGAGCTCACTGTAACATCATTGCCAAAAAGGCTTTAAGAGTTGTTAGCCTTATTTTGCAAAGCTTCTTCTCCGGCAACATTGAATTGTTAACTAGGCCATACAAAACCTTTGCCAGACCAATTCTCAAATACAGCACGTCTGCCTGGAACCCACACTGTATATTGGACATTAACACAATTGAATGGGTTCAGAGGTATTTCTAAAGAAAAGTACTCCATTCCTCCACTTACAATAGAATTCCCTATGCCTCCAGGCTCGAAATTTTGGGCCTGGACAATCTAGAACTGTGCCGCCTGCGGTCCGATCTAAGCATAGTTTGCAAAATTGTCTGCTGTAACATCTTGCCTATCAACGACTTCTTCAGCCTCAATCACAATAATACACGGGCAAACAACTGATACAAACTCAAAGTAAACTGCTCCAAACTTGACTGCAGAAAATACGACTTCAGCAATAGAATGGTCAACTCCTGGAACGTCCTACTTGACTCCGTTGTTACAGCCTCAACCTCCCACAGCTTCAACCTCAAACTATCTACCATGGACTTCACCCCATTCCTAAGAGGTCCTTAAAGGGGGCTACTGTCCCTGTCTTACTGTCCCCATTTATCTGTATTTACTTCCCATGTTCATATTTATACTTGATATCTTGTACATGTTTGACAAATAAATAAATAAATAAAAATGTTAATAAGGCAAAAAAGCATCATAAAATAACTTAGGAGTCCATCCAAATGAAACAAATACAGCCAGTGGAAATAGCTAGCACAAACACTGGAAACAGCCCTTTGTATCCAGCCCACATTTATGCAAAAAGATTTACCTTGTGATTAAAAAGTTATAGATATCTGGTTGTCAAGGCAAAAAGTTTCTTCATTTCATTCCACATTACAATAAAGTCTATGAAATAGTTTTATCTACAAATTCTAGGCCAGTTAGCCTTGAGGAAGTGGTTGTGGTCTTGGTCCTCAAATTGCAAATCATGGCAGTGTGGCATCATGGTTAAAGACCTCTGCTGATTCACTAACAAGCACAGTGAAAACTGTAGGTGTAAGCTGGGTGTGGTTACATTATTTTTTCACTTCACAACCACATTCTGTGACAATTTATGGGCTGGTCCCAATTGCGGATAGTAAGTAATGATTACCTATAGATGCAAATATTATAAGTGGAATTGTAAATGAAAAATATATTTATCTTTTAATAAATAAAATAATAAAAACCCACCATTATCATAATTGCTTTAAAGTAAAAGAAAACCCAGATTCTCCCCAAATCTTCCATATAACACAGTTTTTCAAAACTCAGTTTTAAGGTCTGAATTGCATTGCATTAGTTCAGCATGAGAAAAAGGTTAAAATGCAATTTTTCCAGAAATAATATACCACATTATTCAACTTGGATATAATAGTGATAGAGATATGGCTATTCTGTTTTGAAGGCAATGCTGTCTAAGTAACTAAGACTGACATGCAAGAAAATTCCTGCAGGGCTTCGAAAGAGAATGTACGCTGAATAAAGCTACCCAAAATTTAGTATGATCAGAAAATTTGCGTAACAGGACAATTCAAATTATGGAAAACCCAAACCCTATATTTAAATAAGAACTATATCATTTTCAAACAGTTTGAATTAAAGAAGCCCATTGAAATTTACAGAAGGATATACTTGGATTTTGTTCTATGTATGTATTCATGTGTGTGTCTATTTGTTTCTCCCTGTGAATAAAAAATAATCACATGCAATCTGGGAGTAACATTCAAAGATTTCCACCTATTAATGACCAAAGAAAAATCTTGATATGACTTTTTGGTATTTAAAGTATTTTTTGGTATTTTTAAAGAAAAAAATATGTGGAACTAGAAGTAATAAGTAGTTAATAAATATCAATTATTTAATGTGTTTAACGTGTATTTGCCTATTGACAATGAATTCTGACAAGCCAGTTTACAAAGTATGTTATAATTTCCCTCAACACATTAATCCAGAAGGCAGATGGGAGTGGCTTTAATGAAAAGATATAGACACAAAAACACTTGATTGAGTGACTTACTTTTCACAAGTCTAATTAGATTTATTCTTCCTTTAGATTACAGAAACTACATTAAAAATTTGTTTGCAACAATCAAAGATCCTAATGCTGTTCCTGGTGAATATGTGCCCCTAAACCAGAGATACTCAAACCTAATCATCGTAGATTATCACCCATCTAAAAAGGAGAGAGAAGATGAAATTCTGGCAATGGGAAGGAAACATCTTGAAATCATCAGTAAACGAGCTGAGTCTTCAACCAGCATTGAAGCATTATTTAACCCCGATAAAAATGGATTCATTCCACAAGTTGTTGTGTTAGAGGGAGCTGCAGGATTTGGAAAAACCATAACGGCCCAAAAAATTATATTTGATTGGGCTTCTCAACTACTTTACCAGGACAAATTTGATTATGCTTTCTATATTAGCTGTAGAGAAATGAATCTCCATGCAGAGTCACAGAAGACTAGTATTGCAGAAATGATTTCAAACGAATGGCTCAAACGTCATGAGGTGAATAATGTCATTCGAAACATACTGAAGGATGAAGAGAAGCTTCTGTTCATAATTGATGGGTTTGATGAATTAAGGTATTCCTCTGATCAGCCTGAAAACTGCTTTTGCACTGATCCCTGGCAGAAGGAGCCAGTGAGAATTCTTTTGATTAGTTTATTTCGAAAAAAGCTTCTTCCTAAATCCTCTCTTATAATCACAACAAGACCAACTGCTTTGGAGAAACTCCATCAATATTTAAAGTGCCCACGTAATGTTAAAATATTGGGGTTTTCCGCAAAGGAGAGACAAGAATATTTCTATAATTTTTTTGAAAACGGAGACCAAGCAACTCAAGCTCTCAGATTTGTTAAACAAAATGATACCCTTTTCACCATGTGTGTCATTCCCCTTGTGAGCTGGATCATTTGTACAGTGATGAAACAGGAGATGGAAAGTGGCAAGGATCTTCAGAAGACACCATATACCCTCACTGCAATCTATATGATGTATCTCTCCAGTTTGTTAAAGTTTCACCATAAAGAAGCCAAACAGGATGTCCAATCCAATGTGAAAGGTTTATGCTTTTTGGCTGCAGAAGGAGTCAGGAAACAGAAAACATTGTTTATGGAGGAAGAAGTCACTTTACATCAGAGAGACTTCCTTTCCCTTTTTCTGAATGAAAGCATCTTCAAAAGGGGCATTGGTTGTATTAAAACCTACAGTTTCGTTCACTTAAGCTTCCAGGAATTTTTTGCTGCTTTGTTTTATATTCGAGAACCGCATTCTGAAAATTGGAATAAAAATTTACAGATGCTATTAAAAAGAGATAAATCTTTTAGGCCTGATTTTGCAGTAGGATTTCGCTTCCTCTTTGGTTTTTTAAATGAAGAAAAAAGAATGAGAGAAGAATTGAAAAAAGAATTTGGATGGGAAATTTCTCCTAAGATTAAAGAATCCTTATTAGACTTTGTAAAAGATAGTATTCCAAAAAGGGGATCTAATTTCCAATTGCAAAAAGAAATGTTGAGTTATTTATATGAGATACAAGATGACAATTTTATAAAAAATGCAGTAGATGGTATCACTGAAATAGATTATCAGTGCAACTCAGATATGGAATTGATGATCCTTGGCTGTTGTGTACAACACTGCCAGAATTTAAAATACTTTTCTGTTGAAGGTTCTGCATTTGTAAATCATGCAGAGACAGAAAGTGAGTAAGTATTTTTGAAAATCTGTTGAATATTTCATTTAGTTTTTCATTCTGCCACTATTCTCTAACCTACTGTCTCAAATATTTATTTATTTATTTATTTTATTTTTTTATTTATTTGATTTGCCAATTGTTTACAAGATAATAAGTATAAGCGTATACATAGTTGTGAATACATGAAATGGGTACATATAAGAAAAATAAAAGAATAAGAGAAACAATAGGACAGGGACGGTAGGCACGTTGGTGCGCTTATGCACGCCCCCTACAGATCTCTTAGGAAGGGGGTGAGGTCAATAGTAGACAGTCTAAGGTTAAAGTTTTTGGGGTTTGGGGAAGAGACTACAGAGTCGGGTAGAGTATTCCAGACGTTGACCACTCTGTTGCTGAAGTCGTATTTCCTGCAATCAAGTTTGGTGCGGTTTACTTTGAGTTTGTATCTATTGTGTGCTCTTGTGTTGTTATGGTTGAAGCTGAAGTATTCATTGACAGGTAGGACATTGCAATGTATGATTTTATATACCATGCTTAAGTCAGACCGAAGACGGCGTAATTCAAGGTTTTCTAGTTCTAGAATTTCAAGTCTGGTGGCATAAGGTATTCTACAACGAGTAGAAGAGTGGAGAACTCTCCTTGTGAAATATTTCTGGACTTTCTCAATTGTGCTAATATCAGATACGTAATGAGGGTTCCAGACTGATGAACTGTATTCGAGTATTGGTCTAGCAAATGTTTTGTATGCTCTGGTTAGTAGTGTGATATTACCAGAGAAAAAGCTACGTAGGATTAGGTTAACAACTCTTAATGCCTTTTTGGCTATGTAGTGGCAGTGGGCTCTAGCACTTAGATCATTAGAGGTGAGTATTCCAAGGTCCTTTACAGAGCTTGGGTCATCAACAAGTTCTTGACTATTCAGCTTGTATTTTATTTTCTGATTTTTTTTGCCAATATGTAAGACAGAGCATTTATTTGTTGAGATTTGAAGTTGCCATTTGTTTGACCATTCAGATACATAGTCGAGATCTTTTTGAAGGGTAGCAGTATTGTCTGTGGTATTGAACAGTTTTACATCATCAGCGAAAAGAACGCAATTGCTCTTAATATGATCGCAGAGGTCATTTATGTAGAGTATGAAGAGAGTTGGTCCTAGAACACTGCCCTGGGGCACACCACTATTGACAGGTACTGGATTTGATAGGACGCTCCCGATTTTGACCATTTGTTGTCTGTTTGACAGGAATGCTTCTATCCAGTTATTCAGTTGTCCAGAGATACCATAGGATTTTATTTTTAGGAGTAGTTTGTCGTGTACCACTGAATCAAAGGCTTTACAGAAGTCTATGTAGATTGCGTCTATTGCTTTGCCCTGGTCGAGTTGTGTCGTCCATATGTTTTTGCAGTGTAAGAGTTGCAGATTACAGGATAGTTTTTTTCTGAAACCAAATTGTTTATTGGAGAGTAGGTTGTTTGTCTCTAAGTGGAGGATAATGGATTGGTTAATAATTGATTCCATGACTTTACAGGTGACGCAGCATAAGGAGATTGGTCTGTAATTTTCAACTAGGCTTGGGTCTCCCTTTTTGAAGATGGGGATGACTGTGGCTTGTGACCATAGGTTAGGCAAGGAGCTGGTCCTGAAAGATTTTTCAAAGATTATGCTTAGAGGTTTGGCTATGGCAGTGGATAGCTTTCTTAAGAAGTAGGCACATATTCCATCCGGTCCAATAGATAGAGATGGTTTTAGATTGCGTAGTGATTTTTCAACATTGTCTTCTGTGAAATCGATATGTATTAGATCATTGTTGTTATCTGTGGTACGGCTAGGAAATACTGGGCATGATCCATTGCTGTTTACAAATACTGAGCCGAAGAATGTGTTAAAGATGTTGGCTTTAATGGTGTCGTCGTTGCAGTCTTTACCATCAGGTCCTATCAAGGGAGGGATGGACCTTGAGTCTTTTAGTTTGTTGTTTACAAAATTGTAAAAAGCACGGGTGGAATTGGTGCTTAGAAGGTTTTCCTCTTGTTTAATGTGATAATTGGTGCATTCGGTCTTTATCTGGTGGCATAAATTTTTGTATCGGCTTTTGAAATTGGCAACGTGACCAGATTTGTTTTTCCGCCAGAGTGATCTCTTTTTGGATTGAAGTTTCCTTATTGATATGGGTAATCTGCTTTTTTGTTTTGTTTTGGGAGTTGTTGTTGGAACATATAGTTTGATGACTCTTTTGACTTCAAGTAAAAATATGTTGTAATGGTCTTCAACAGTATTGCATCCAGTGAATAGAGATTGCCAATCAAGGGATGAGAGATCGTTGTCTATAAGATCATAGTTGCCTTTTTTGAAGTTACAATTGGGGATTACATCATAGTGGTGATTTTTGTGTGGACGTATGTTGAGACAAAAGTCAATCATATTGTGGTCACTACTGGAAAAGGGTTCTTTAGTTTGTATTCCGTAAATTAAATTCAAACTATTGCAGAAGATGAGATCAAGGCAGTTGTTTAGTCTAGTGTTGTTGGTTACTAGTTGTTCCAGTCCCAGATTTGTAATAGCATTATAGAAGGTTGTGTGTATGATTTCAGTTGTACAGTCATTTAGGGTCCAGTCAATATGAGGTAGATTGAAATCACCAAGAAGGATAAAAGGGTATGGGCAGGATGCAGCCCATGTTAGTAATGTATTTAGCTTGTTTACATGTTCGATGTCATAATCAGGTGCTCTGTAACATAGTAAGAATCGAATTGTGATATTTAAGGATAGTTCACAGATGATGGTTTCAGGAAGGGCAAGCTCCTGGGTAACTTGGATATTTTTTAGATGTAAGGATTTTTTATAGAATATAGCAACACCACCTCCTCGACGATTTTCATGATCTGATCGGTAAACATGATAGTCTCTTACTGTGGTAATATAATATAATAATAGAGAAGTAAAATGCAATTTACACATATGCATAAATGTCTTTTTGCAGCTAATTTAAAGAAGGCTCTCAATCCTTAAGTGAAGACAAGAGATGGGCTGGGCGGGCTGGAAAGATGATTAAAAATGAACAGTTGTCCTTTGGTAAGGCCAACATCAATCCATTTCTCTCACACTTAAAGAGCCTGATAATCAACAGGAAATGTTCATTTCAGCTCAAGATTAGAGAGGCAATTGCTGTTGAGATCTAGAGGTTCTAACAATTTTAAGTAAAAAAAAACTTGATTTCTTTTATTCATTGCCCAATACTGACAGTTTTTAAAAACTGATTGGAAGTTCATTTGGTTATAGCAAAGTTCAGGATCTTTCTCCCTTTAATTAAAAAGATATACATGCAATACCCTCAAATGTTCTGTGGAACTGCATTTGAAAGTTTCATTGCACGTAAAACTTTCCATCTTACATGGCAGATAACACAAAAAGGTGCTTCTGTAATAATTAGAAACTTCTTAAGCTCCTCCCTTAAAATAAGGTCATTTTGAAATTAGTCATTTTTAAAAACGAATGACTATATAGTTTTACCTGAGATTTTTATTCAAACACTACCTCATTTTTCATGTCAAATAAGAGGAGTGGATTGAGAAATTAAATAAATTTCTTCTAGTGGTGTGACTTGGACACAGTTTTTGGGAGAATATTTTCTCTGCTTCAGCACTGAATTGATAAAGGGCTCATTTTCTGGTCTTGTTGAGAAAATTGTTATACTGAATAATAAACCGTAAGATTAACATTTAAGGACTCTCCTACAAAACTTTATGGTGTCACAGTTTTTTTTTTTGTTTCATTCTTATGAAACATTGGCTGTGATATAGATCTGTTTTTCTCTAATAGAAGGAGACAAGAATAATTTCCTCATTGTAGCTTTTAGCTGCTTGTTATCTGTAGGAAGTGAAGCTGGCTGAAGAGCTCTTTTTCCAGATTTCAATCTCTTATCCTGCTTTAGCCACAGGTGTGAGCTCATGTCCTGCTCAAAAATTAGCAAAAGTTTATTACGTATTTGCAAATATGGGTGCACAAGAGGTGGGCCCAGATCAAAGTATGCAAAGGGGTTTTTATACCCCTTTTCTTGTACTCAGCACTGTCCTGGTTTCTCACTAGCTGAATAGTAACAAGCAGGGTTGGGATTCTACCGGTTCTGTCCACTTCTGTAGAACCGGTTGCTCTGAAGAGCAGCAGACAGAAAGCATACATAGAACCGGTTTTGGCCTACCGGCCTGCCTGGGCTCTTTCCTGACCTTTATTTCCTGCTTTTTCAACCACTACGCACTTGCGTGCAGTGCTGTTCAGCTGTCCAGGCAGCTAGCTGACGATGATATACATGCACACGCAGTGCATGCCAGGTGTGCATGCGCGCTCATGCAAAACATAAAATCACCAAACTGGTAGTTACACTGGTCGGATCTTACCCCTGCTAACAAGCTTACAACCTATTCAGAGTACTTGTCAACAAAAGATCCCTAGCTATAGGGCAATAATCTCCCTAGCTACTGCTTAGAAAGCTCCACACCCTTTTCTTTTTACTTTTCTGAAGTACATTGTTAACTATAAGAACAATAAAAAAGTTCCTTCATATTTCACAGTTTTTAAGTAAGGTGATCAAATGTGAGCTTCACTTAATGGCTATCACAAATTTTGGCTGTAATGGATAGGTTCAACATGGTTGTTGGCCAAGAACTACTTGTACATCTTACATTTACAAAATGGTCTTTTTTTCTAGTACTGCAATATGAATGCATTTATTTGCGATTACTTTTCAAATGGACTGGAATGCCAATTAGATTTGCAAAGTAGAGTAACTGGAAACACTGAAGTGAAAGTCTGAAAAGCAAAAATATCTTTCCCCTTTTAGGGAATGGAGTTTGGATGAAACATATATGGAAGACTTCTTTCAAGCACTGACAAAACTGAGAAACTTAAGTACCCTCAGGTATGTAACTGCTAGAATTTTATTCTAGATGTTATTGATAAAGAAATCTCTACAAAATATTAGCAATCTGCATATTAACCTAAATACTGTTACAGAAGTCTCTCATCAGTTTCTCATGGTCATCAGTAGAGGAAGCTTTACTGGGGGTTCCTGAAGCCTAGGATGGAACTGAGTTACAACAGACATTGAGAGACAAGGAAGGAGAGTTAACTTAAGTATTTTTAGGGTACATTATTTCATGGGAATTCCTTGATTAGTGGCAGGGTATAGTGTCAGGGTCTCCTCTGAAGTGAGAAAAGAGAGGGACAGGACATGCT